ATGACTACAAGTTCGTTACAAAAGAGGAATTAGAAAAATTAGGTAAGTCAGACCTCTGTACCACTATATCACTACCCAGTGGATAAATCCACATCGAAGAGCATCGAGCTAGGGGGATGCTCCTAATATCATTACTATTTTATTATTATCCAGTGAAATCTATGCAAAATCTATCGACAGAACAACTTTTTCCGTCCTTCGTCTTTCCAGCGATTTCAACTTTTTTTCTATTCCCAGGGCTAACACATCTGGTTGGCACAAACCTTTTACGAGCGTACATGCATGGGTATTTCATGGACATCCGACTTTATCAAAAGGTTAGATATCACGACCGTAGTTTATATTTCGGTCATATTCAAGGGGTCTCTATCAGGCGACCAATTTCCTCGAGTCAGTATGTTACCGGGGAGATTTCCATTCAAATGACAAAAAAAAAGTGTAGTACAGTTCGCCATGCGCTAATACTAGTAACGAATGTTCAAGTCCATTTCACCGTTTGATTATTATTTTTTTCTCGATTAATTACCAGGCAAAGACGATAGCAGAACCATTTGCATTTGAAGAATATCGAAAGAGGAAAATTCAGGAGAAGATAGAAGAAGAGCGTGAAAATCGTGTCAGAATTAAGGTGGTGCATTTTGTATTTCAGCTCTCTGCAGTGTATTCCTTGGTGACCCTAGAGGTTTTTCGGATGGTGTTCAACTTTAGGACAGGGTCATCCATTGCTTAGATTTGGGCAGCGCCTTTTACCGTTATTCCAACGCCTTTTCTGTGTAGACACGGTTGTCTTTTATGACAAACGGAGTGATTCTGGTGTTTATTGATACTTTTCCTTAACGACCCCTATCCTTCTAGCACAATGAACCGAAAATTGTTATAGTACAGTTTCTTTTTTGTTCACAAATGTATAACATACAGTACTGTAGGATAAAGCACGTGTCGTGTGCTACATGTAGTTATTGTTGTCAAGTATGCTGTAATATACACCACGACAAAGCACACTCGGCAATTTTAATTTTGTTAAATAAAGTTATTTACTGCAAGTAAAAATATTTTTTGTTAAACAAGTTAGGACAACAAGAGATTTCGACGCCATCGCGCGTCATTTTCAAGAATAATTTATTAGATCGATCACTACAGTTTTTATATGTTATTGAATATATTACATGTCTCTTGGGATAATCTTATTTTAGAACACTTTTGACTTAATTGAGTCAGATTGTGCATTTAGCAGTGGTTCTTTGTTCTTGATGTATAGCATTTCATAGATTAAGCATTCGGATTTGTTCTTGCATCTCCTGAGTACTTTAAAACTCTCTTTGAAACCTTGTAGGCTTTCATGGCAATGAAATTATTCTTGAAAATGACGCGCAATGGCGTCGAAACGTCGAAATCTCTTGTTGTCCTAACTTGTTTAACAAAACTTATTAAGCACAAGCAACTAATAAGTAAAAATATGGCTGTTTAATGTTTGTAGAAATTACCGCGAATTAACAGAGCATTGGCTGAAAAATTATTAGAAGAGAAGAAAGAGAAAAAGA